TGTGTATAAAGTAGTAATCGTAGGAGATTCTTAAGTAAAAAGTCTCGCAAAAACTCGAGCTATTCGTAAATAGTTCCTTTCACACTATGATCTAATTTGGAAAGAGTTTTCAAGAACCGAGAGTTGAAGGCTTTTAATAGCGCTTTTTGCTTCTAATAACGTCAAAGTAATATTTTATTCAAACAGATAAACACAAATTTTGTTGATCGACAAAACTGGGCTCTCTTCTTCCATCACTTCCCATGTTTAGCTGAAAATGTGATTACGTCACGAATCAAAGATCGTGCTATTCTCACGTTATGGGTCAAACGGAAGAGTTAAGTTAAGTTGAAGTACTTGAATAACATTGAAGATCACGTACTATGTTTCTTATGATGCTTTTTCACATGTCGCTTATGATGATGACGATGGTGCACATGTAGATGAGTCGAGATATACATGAGAGCATCAAATTCCTAAATGTATTTTTGAATAAATGTTTAAGAAATCACTAAATATATTGGTACCTTGGTGTGATTTCTTGCCAATTCCTCAATTTTATGTCTCATCTGATTGTGCGTTTGATTCTCATCCTCTACAATCTTTAGAAATTGTTCATGGATTTTAGGTAACGCAGTCAGTACGTCAGTGACATTCTTCTTTACTTCCATCTGGTGTTTTTTCAAGTCGTCGTCGAATTTTTTCACTTTATCCTATAATTGCAAAAATCACCCTGAATCACCGCAGTAAAGTCTCCTACCGTAAGGTTGTGTTTCGCAGCCCAAGCCAAAATTTCTTGTTTTTGCTGAGCAACCGTTTCATTGGCTTTTCTTAGAATGTTATAATATTCTTTCTTAGTGTCTGCTGACAGACCCTTCAGGAAACTTGGACTGCGATGATGATGATGTTGCACATGATGATCGTAATATTCGTCATCATCATTATACCAGTGATAAGGATGATGCTGACGTCTGACTGTTGCGCTACATACAATAGCGCTGAGCAAAACAAGAACCACGGTCCTGATCATCCTGAAACTTTCAAAATTAAGCAACTTTTCTTATTATCTATTTCAAGATTAACAAAATCGAGAACGCTCACAGGCAAATATGATTAACCCAGCACAATATACAAGTGAAAAAATGTGTTATCAGTAATAACTCAGAGTTCATCATTTCTTGCACTTCTGTACAAGATACCCCACTCAAATATCGCTTCACTAGTATAGCATTACGGTATGTCCTTCCATATGCAGCTATTAGGTTGCCCCAAAAGTAAACTCCATTTTTTTAAGGGGGCGGAGTTTGCCATTTTCAATTTTAGTTTTTCTCTTGATTTCTAAGTGT